GGGGGGGGGGGGGGGGGGGGGGGGGGGGGGAGGACGCTCGTGGCAGTTAGGGGGCTCCGGCTCCCGGGTGGGCGGGGGCAAGACGGGTGGGCTCTGCGTCTGGGGTACGAGAAGCGAGAGCCCCTGGCGCTGAGTGTGCTCGGGGGAGGACTCCCCGGTGTGGGGAGGTGAGAGAGGCAGTCTGACCTCTACGCATGGCAGGGCGCCCGGCTTCCAGGGCCCAGAGCGGAGCGCCACCGGGTGGTGGGTGGGGGAGGGTGTATGGAGGGGATGTAGTGCGAGGGGTCGGGGAGGAGCCGCCTGGCCACGGGGGGGGGGGGGGGGGGTAAGGGAAGCGGAGAGGGGGAGGCGCTGGGGCTGCTGTGATCTGGTGGAGGCTGTTGGCCATGGCAGATGGATTTGTGGGGGTCCAGGGAGGGGCTCTGGCCCACTGCATGAGGCATCGAGAGCTTCAGGTCGCCTCTGTCTGGGTGGCACAGAAATTGCAGAGGTGGGTGGGCAGGGCAAGGCCCTGGCCTCCACACAGAGTACACAGATTCTTTACGAGGGTGCTTTGCACATTCACCCGGACATGCCATACCAGAGTTGTAAAACAGTCTCCATAAATTTAGCAGTATTGCAAGTTTACATGATAAGTTTTCTCATCACGGGGGAATTTTATTTGATGGTACTAATGATAATATATCTTCAAATATTGGGAAACCCATGGATCAAAGAAAAATATCACAGAGGGACTTAGAAAATATTTCAAAGTGAATACTAAAAAAACACGACTTCCCAAAATTAGTTGGAGGCAGCAAAAAGCAACAGGAGGAAACTGTATTCCTCTAAATGCTTCTGTTAGAAAAGAGTCAGGACATACAATCAGTGAGCTAACAGTCCATTGAGAGATGCTAGAATAAGAAGAGCAAAGGAAACATAAAATGAAGTAATAAGAGAGCTAAGAGAGGAAATCAGTGATAGAAAGCAAATTATGGACACGGTGAACGAAGCCATGCGCTTCTTTCAAAAGAGCAAGGAAACCGAGAAAGTCCTACAACGATGAATCACGGAAACATAGAAAGAACGCTGATCCCCAATATGAGGAATGAAAGAGGGCCAACGTTACAGATCAGATGTACATTAACAAAGAGGATATAGGGGAATATTATGGGATATTATGGAAATGTTTATGCTAACAAATTGGAAGACTTGAAAAATTCCTTGGGAAAAAGGCAGCTTCCTAAAACTGAGGCCAGAAATGTAGAAAAGGTGACGAGCCTTCTATCTGTCTTTTTTAAAAAAATTGTTTTATTTTATTTTATTATTGTTTCTTGAGTCGTACGCAACAAGCGCTCTTTTGTTATTATTTTTAAATTTTATTTTTACTTTGGGCTGCGTTGGGTCTTTGTTGCTGCGCGCGGGCTTTCTCTAGGTGCAGTGAGCGGGGGCTACTCTTCGTTGCGGTGCGCAGGCCTCTCATTACGGTGGCTTCTCTTGTTGCAGAGCACGGGCTCCAGGCATGTGGGCTTCAGAGGTTGTGTCACGTGGACTCAGTAGTTGTGGTTCGTGGGCTCTAGAGCGCTGGGTCAGTGGTTGTGGCGCGTGGGGTTAGTTGCTCCGCGGCTTGTGGGATCTTCCCGGACCAGGGATCGAACCTGTGTCCCCTGCACTGGCAGGTGGATTCTTAACCACTGCGCCACCAGGGAAGTCCCTAGCCTTCTATCTTGTAAATAAATGTAATTTATAAAAAAAAGTTTCCTAAAGTCAAACAAACCAAACAGGGCAGGGAGGTGCTCCAGGCTGCTGCTGTGAGGGGCACTAGGGTGGGCTGTGTGGCACAAACATGATTCTCTCCTCTTTGCACCCACAGGCCGATTCCCACACTTCAACAGCCTGTGCACACCTGTTTGATCGCTTCCCCCCACCCTCAGGTCCTCGAAGATGGCGATGGCTCTGGCGGTATTGCGGGACTGGTGCAGGTCGATGGGCGTGAACGCTCAGCGATCTCTGCTCATCCTGGGAATCCCAGATGACTGCAAAGACCAGGAATTCCAGGAGGCTGTGCAGGCTGCCCTGCGTTCCCTGGGCAGGTACCGAGTGCTGGGCAAGGTCTACAGAAAGGAGCTGGGGTCGAGTGTTGCCCTGGTCGAGTTTGCTGAGTGTTTAAATCGAAGCTTGCTCCCCCGCCAAATACCAGGCAAGGGAGGGCCCTGGACTGTGGTCTGCCTGCCCCAGGCCCCTGATGCTGATTCACAGGATAGACCCAATTGCCCTGCGCAGCCCCAGGGACAAGCAGTGGTTGGCAGGGCGGGTGAGGCAGGAACTGCAGGTCACTCAGGAACTGCAGGGGAGGAGGAAGCTGCAGGGGAGGCGGGAGTCGCAGGTATGGAGGGAGACACAGGTGAGGAGGAAGCCTTAGGTGAGGAGGGAGCTGCAGGTGAGGAGGGAGCTGAAGGTGAGGCAGGAGCTTCAGGTGAGGAGGGAGCTGAAGGTGAGGAGGGAGGTGCAGGTGAGAAGGGAGCTGCAGGTGAGGAGGGAGCTGAAGGTGAAGAGGGAGCTGCAGGTGAGGAGGGAGCTGCAGGTGAGGAGGGTGGTGCAGGTGAGAAGGGAGCTGCAGGTGAGGAGGGAGATGAAGGTGAGGAGGGAGGTGCAGGTGAGAAGGGAGCTGCAGGTGAGGAGGGAGCTGAAGGTGAGGAGGGAGCTGAAGGTGAGGGAGGTGCAGGTGAGGAGGGAGCTGAAGGTGAGGCAGGAGATGCAGGTGAGGAAGGAGCTGCAGGTGAGGAGGGAGCTGCAGGTGAGGCAGGAGATGCAGGTGAGGCAGGAGATGCAGGTGCGGAAGGAGCTGCAGGTGAGGAGGGAGCCTCAGGTGAGGCAGGAGCTGCAGGTGGGGAAAGATCTGAGGGTCAAGCAGGAGCTGAAGGTGAAGCAGGAGTGTCAGATGAGGAAGGAGCTGCAGGTGAGGAGGGAGCTGAAGGTGAGGAGGGAGCTGAAGGTGAGGAGGGAGCTGAAGGTGAGGAAGGAGCTGCAGGTCCGGAAGGAGCTGAGGGTCAAGCAGGAGCTGAGGGTCAAGCAGGAGCTGAGTCAGATGAGGAAGGAGCTGCAGGTGAGGAGGGAGCTGCAGGTGAGGCAGGAGCTTCAGGTGAGGAGGGAGCTTCAGGTGAGGAGGGAGCTGAAGGTGAGGAAGGAGCTGCAGGTCCGGAAGGAGCTGAGGGTGAAGCAGGAGCTGAGGGTCAAGCAGGAGCTGAAGGTGAAGCAGGAGCTGAGTCAGATGAGGAAGGAGCTGCAGGTTACAGAAATGTTGCAGGCGTGGCAGGACTTCTGAGTATGGCAGGACCCACGGGCGAGGCAATGGCTGTGCCTGAGGAAGCAGTTGTGACAGCGGCAGGCGCCATGGGTGAGGCAGGGCCCGGGACCCAGCAGTGGAGGCAGGCCTCGCAGCCCGTGCTGGACAGCATGGGCTACCAGGAGCTGGGAACCTTCTCTGGGATGGAAGAGCTGGGCCACGGGGAAGGGTCCTCTGAGAGCTGGCTGGAGCAGGCCAGCCACACGCTGCACCTGTGGTGCCACGTGTCTGAGAGGGAGAGGAGGAGGAGGCTGGTGGAGAGCTTGCGCGGCCCCGCGCTGGACCTCCTGCGTGGCCTCCTGGCGGAAGATCCCGAGCTGGCTGCCCAGGACTGCCTGGCCGCGCTGGTGCAGGTGTTTGGGAACAAGGACCCCCGGGGGAGTGCTCGGCTGAAGTTCGTGACCTGTGCCCAGCGGCCCCAGGAGACTCTCTCTGCGTACGTGATGCGCCTGGAAGGCCTGCTGCAGTCGGCCCTGGAGAAGGGGGCCATCCACCCGGCCATGGCGGACCAGGCGCGCGCCCGGCAGGTGCTGACGCGGGCCCGGCTGAACGACACGCTCCGGGACACGCTGAGGAGGAGGCGGCTGATGAGGAGGCCTCCCGGCTTTGCGGGGATGCTGCGGCTCATCCAGAAGACCGAGGCCTGGGACGCCGACCCGGCTAGCAGGGAGCACTTCCCAGGGCAGGAAGAGGCCCGTGTGGACGTTGCAGTCCTGGCAGCAGCCGCCCAGGCCGCCCCGGCCCATGAGGCCATCACCGCAGGCACCACTGCACATGGCACCAAGGCCTCCCCGGCCGGTGAAGATATCACCGCGCAGGCCGCCCGTTCCAAGGAAGGGAGCGCCGAGGACCACCCGGCACGTGAGGAGGCCAGTGCGGCAGTTGCCGGCACTGCCAAGGCTGGCGAGGCGGCCCCTGAAGACCATGGTGCCACCAGGGCAGCCCCTGAAGACCATGGTGCCGCCAGGGCAGCCCCTGGCCCTGGGGAGACCAGCAAGGCGTCCGCGGCCACTCAGGAAGATGGAAGTGCTGCCGCCCCTGCGGGCCTAGGTCAGGCAGGACCCTCAGATGCCCCCGGAGTCCCCATGCCTGGCCGGATGGGCAGTGCTTCCCCGGTGGCCCCAGGAGGTCCTGGCTGGGAGCCAGAGGGCCTCGCCCAGGCAGAAGGCCAGGAGGCCGAGGAGACCCCCGAGGAGGGGCTCAAGCCCATCCCAGAAGAGCCGGGAAATGAGGACGGGGCTGCAGAGATGAGCCCCCCGGTGTCCACCTCGGGCCAGTAGGCTCAGCAGGTCCCGGGGCCCCCAGGCTTGGAGGCAGGGGGAGGCCAGGCCTGGCAGCCTACTGGCCCCATATTAGGGGCCACTCAAGGTGCCTGGGCCTCCCTCCTGAGACGGGACCCCTATTCATCATCCCCTGGGGCAGGTTGCTCCCTGTACTGGCAAGCCCAAATGTGTCCCTGTAGGCCCCAGAGGAACCCAGGTGTCAAGGAACACCCCAACCCCCGCTCCCCTCCCCCCAACACACACACCCTAGCCATCGTCTCCCCACAGAGCCCTGAGGTGCACCACGTGCCAGCCAAGGCTCTGGTCTCTGTGGGCCGGTGTCATGAGCTCAACGTGTGCTTTCTGGGCATAGATTCAGGCCCAGCGCTGCTTGTTGTTGTGGAAATGTGCATGTGTTCTCCTCTGAGCAGTTCCCCCAACCCCTGCGCGGCGTGGAGACCCCGAGCCCAGTCCCAGGAGCCGGCGGGAAGGACGGGATGGACGAGGTCACAGCCAGCACCCACCCCAGGACCTGGGCTCCCACCCGGGACCTTGGGAAGGAAGACCTTGACCGGGGCTGCAGGAGGTCTGCGGGAGGCCCCCCAGGGCTTGTGTTCTGCTGGGCCACCCCGTTGTTGCTCGGGACTCCACGTCCCCGGCTTGGTGGCGTGCGCCCTGCTGTGGGACTGTCCTGTGCCCGCCATAGGGCAGGGCCGGGCCCTGGGCATGTGAGCCACAGGGGGATCAGTTGTCTTGGGGGGTGCAGGCATTGCCAGCGCCCATCGTCCTGGTGAGAGGCCACCCATGCGGCCTCTTCTTGACAGTTCACTCGATGCCAGCCCCTGGATGCTAGCTGTTGTACAGTACTACTGTACTTTTCAATGTACTGTTCTGTAAGATTTTAAATGTTTTCTTTATTTTTTGTGTTTGTTAGTTTTTTATATGTTATTTGTATGAAAATATTATAAACCTATTACATTACTGTACAATATAGCCAACTGTTTTAGTTGGGTATCTAAGACTTATGAACAAATTGGTCTTATGAACATGCTCTCGGAATTGAACTTGCTCATATGTAGGGAACTTACCGTATTATAGATTTGTCCATAGAATATACTACACCAAGAATGAACCCTAATGTAAACTATGGACTTTGGATGATGATGATATGTTCATATAGGCTCATCAATTGTAATAAATACACCACTCTGGTGGGGGATGTTGATAATAGGAGAGGCTATGCAAGACTGGGTGTAGAGTGCATATGGGAAATCTCCTTACCTCCTCTACTCAATATTACTGTGAACCTAGAACTACTCAATATTACTGTGAACCTAGAACTGTTCTAAAATAATAGAGTGTATTATAAATAATAAAATAAAAAACACTAGATATGCAAAGAGTTAAGGTGATATGGCATATTACCTCAAGAGAAAATATTAAAAAAGAGATGCAGAGAGACAGATGATCTGGATATTGAAATCATCAGGAAATTAGTTTAAAATTAGCTGTGATTAACATTTTAAAAGAAATAGAGGAAAAGATATGAAAAAAGTCAAGAAATTCTATAGAGAATTTTAACTAATTAAAGTAAGAATCAATTGGATATCCTAGAAGGGAAAAACTAAGAATTCAATGCATGGGTTTAACAGGATGATGGATGCAAAAGAACAGGATTATATAACTTGAAACTAAATTAACAAAAATACTAAAACTGAAGCACAAAAATGAATTGGAAAAAAAACAATACAGAGAATAAGAGATGTAGGACACAGTCAATATATAACATACATGTAATGGGAGAAGAGAAAGAATGGGGTAGAAGCAACATTCAGACAACATCCAAAAAGTTTACAAAACTAAGGAAAGACATAAACCCACAGAATCAAGAACGTTAGTGAACAGGATAAGCAGGATAAACAAAAAGAAATCCACACCTAGGCACATCATAGTCAAGGTGTTAAAAACCAAAGATGCAGAGAAAATCTTTAAGCAGCCAGAAGAATAAAAGACACTACATTCCAGGGAACAATATTGAAATGAAGGCAGACTTCTCAAAAGAAACAACACAAGTCAGAAGCCAATGTTGTGACACTTTTTAAGTGCTAAAGTAAAAATAAACACACAGAACTACCAACATAGAATTATATATCCAAAGAAAATATTCTTCAACAATGTGGGTGACATAAAGAGTGTTTCAGATAAACAAAGACTGAAAGAATTCCTCACCAGCAGACCAACACTGAAAGAAAAAAAGCAAAGACAATTATTCAGGAAAAAGGAAAATGATCCCAGACAGAAACATGGTAAATATAAGTGCATATTTACAATAACTGTAATATTTTATAGAGTTTATATGTAAAGCTAAAGTGCTTGACAGAAATAATGCAAAAGCTGAGAAACGGATGAATGGAGTTTAAAGGTTCTAGCAGCATCAGAGAAGTGGTACAAATAATTTCTATTAAACGGTGATAAGTCAGAGATTGCTGCTATACTTTCTAAGGTAATTACTAAAAGAAGAAGATATAACTGAGAAGACAGTATAACTGAAGTTATTAGAGGGAAATATACAAAATTAAAATGTTGATTAATCTAAAAGGAGGCAAGAATGAAGAAAAAAAGGAATGTAAAAAAAGACTCAAATAGAAAATGTATCAATAGGTGGTAAATATACTCTAAATCAGATTATGTGAGCAATTAACTATAAATAAACCAAATATTCCCAAGTAAAACACTAAGATTGTCAGATTGGATTTTAGAAAGCCCGAATATATGCAAGTTACAAGAGGTGAACTTTAAATGTTAAGATGTCAAAAAATTGAATATAAAAGGACAAAAATGATATACCATGAAATAATTGACAAAAACACCTTGTATTATTATATTAATATCAGAAAAAGTAAGCAGCAGTACTAGAGATAAAGAGAGATATTTCAAAATTATAAAGGGGATTAATCAAAGATGATGACATTGTAGTCCTCTATGAGAGGTGTCAAACAATTTGTGGGCATCTTTCATCTACCTCATGACCCAATTAAGATACCAGCAGAGATTTTTGCAGAAATTGACAAGTTGATTCTAAATTCATATATTAATGCAAAGGGCTAAAATAGCCAAAAGCAATCATGAAGAAAAAGAACAAATCTGGAGGACTTACACTACTATGTATCACGCTATGGTTAGTAAGACACTGTGATATTGGTGCAAGGATATACTATTTGGAATGACCATGGGTATAATGTAAAAAAGTAAAGTGTTCAGGCATATAGTATCACATGATATTTTTATTAAGGTGATATTGCAGTGCAGAGGTGAAAGTATAGTCTTTCAACTGCCATTATATCCCAAACATACCATATGAATTGCAAATGAATTGCAGTTTTATGCTAAAAATAAAACAATAAATATTTTATATTATATAAGTTTCAGGTGTACAGCAATATAGTTTGATATCTGTATACACTACAGAGTGATTACCACAGCAAAGCTAGTTGCCATCCATCCCCAGTATAGTTGACCCCCTTCACCCGTTTCACCCACCCCCCCCAACCCCCTTCCACTCTGGTAACCGCTGATCTGTTCTCTGTATCTATGATGTTAACTCCATATGTTTGTTTTGTTTTATTTTGTTTGTTCATTTGTCTTGTTTTTTGTATTCCACATATGAGTGAAATAATACAGTGCTTGTCTTTCTCCATCTCACTTATTTCACTTAGCATAATACCTCCAAGGTCCATCCATGTTGTTGCAACTGACAGGATTTCATTCTTTTTGTATGAATGAGTAGTATTCCATTGTGTGTGTGTGTGTATGTGTATATATATATATGCATATATATGTATATATATATGCATATATATGTATATATATATATAAAACAATCTTTTGTTTGTTTGTTTTTGCAGTACGCTGGCCTCTCACTGCTGTGGCCTCTCCCATTGCGGAGCACAGGCTCCGGACGCGCATGCTCAGCGGCCATGGCTCACGGGCCCAGCCGCTCCGCGGCATGTGGGATCTTCCCGGACCGGGGCACGAACCCGTGTCCCCTGCATCAGCAGGCGTACTCTCAACCACTGCGCCACCAGGGAAGCCCGATATATATATATAACAATCTTTTATAGAAAAATACCACTAAGGAAAAATCTGCTTGTGACTTTGGTATAGGAAAATATGTTTTAAACAGAACAGAAAAAGCACTAATGATGAAAGAAAAAAATTGATAACTTTGGCCACATTAAAATTAAGATCTGTTCATCAAAACACACGAATAAAAAATGAAAAAGCAATCCACAGGATGGGAGATGACATTTGAAATACACATATCTGGCAAGCAACTTATATCAAGAAAATACAAAGGACTCCTACAAAACAATAAGAAAAAGACAACCCATCTAGAAAAAATAGGCAAATGACTTGAACAGAACTCCACCAAAAAAGCATATTCAAATATACAATATATTTGAAAAGGTGTTCAAATTCATTCTCATCAGAGAGAAGCAAATAAGCAAATTAAAAGATAAAGAGATACCACTACATCCCCACTTGAATGGTTAAAATGTAAATGAAAAATATAAAATACCCAACATTGGCAAAAATGTGTAACAATGGTATGCTGGTAAATGTTTAACAACTGGGTTTCTAAAAAAATAAATAGAAGCCATGATTTTTGTAGTTTCTACTCTTAACAGTGTACATACTACAACCACAGCCAATTTCAATCAACCATCCTGAGGTCACTGAACACAGTTGGGAAGAGACACTCACAATTGGCTCTTGAAAGACAGTATGGCCTGCCTCCAGAACACCACTGATGTGGAGCAACAATAATTCTCACATACTGCTGGTGGGAGCATAAATTAATACAAATAGTTTGGAAAACTCTTTGGCAATTTCTAAAAGTTTAAGATATCCATACCCATATTACACAGCAATTCTATTCTAGAGTATATACTCAACAGAAATGCATCTATATCTTCACCAAAAGACATATTCAAGAATTCTCACAGAAGTATTATATGTAAGAGCCAAACAATTTGGATGCTACCCAAATCCCTATCAACAGTTTCAAGGATAAACAAATTGTAATTTAGTGACATAATGATATACTATAGATCAGCAGTCAACAAATTGTGGCCCACAGGACAAATTTGGCCATCCCACTGTTGTTATAGCCTCTGAGCTAAGAATGTTACATTTTAAAATGATTACATTTTAAATAC